AAAGCGCGTTTCACAGAGCCGCAGGAATATTCACATGCGATCTGAATCCCTATCTCGCCATCCTTCCCCCGACTTTGTCCCTCTCTGCGTTTTTCACTCTCTCTGAGCCTAGCTTGAGGCCAGTCTATAAATACTCATGGCTGGGCGTGGACGCACTGTGTGTGTGTGTGTGTTGAAATGCAGGGATGCGAGGTGCTCCAAGCCAAACAGACCCACGTGGAGCTACAGTGTGCAGCTCGTAAGAGGGTTCAGTGAGGCAGTGAGAGGAGATAGAGATTGAGTAATACACTCACACACTATTTAAAGCCTTTCTAAATAATCTCAGTTTATGTCTCCATGGCACCTGCATGGGTTCATACTACCTCCAGCTTACCTCCTTTGAAGAGCTCTGTGTGCAGGTACGCTAGGCCACGTGTGACGGAGTGAGCGAGCCGGCAGCTGCTGACCCAGTCGTTGGTCTGGACGCTCAGGTAGCGATTCAGCGAGCCCTGAGGAAGACATGAGGGAAGGAGATGAGTGATAATACAATACTCTGTGTCCTGTCACTTATAGAGACAGAATTGGTTGTGATTACATGAGCTTATTAAAAGACTAACTAAGAGCTCTCCCTTTCATTTTCAAGAGACCAAATAAAACATTACTATGTCTGTTTGAAATCCATTCACTCTGGTACGGATCTGCCTGGTTATTCGTTGAGCTCCTAGTATTTAATGCCAATATTTTCAAAACAATCTGCTTGTTCAGGTGAGATGAGTAATTTTGCTATCAAAGCCCTACGAGTAGAGTAAGTCAGTCACCATTGACTGGTCAACATTGCTTTGATAAGCTCATGGGTTTATGTTGCTGCATAAAGCTTTCAGATCTACAGCTTCGGCCAACACAGTTCTGGTGTTTCTGTTTCAAGCCTGACAAGAGATTATGTTCACAATATAACTTGTAGCTTTTAAAATGCTGCTGACAGTGTGCTTGGCCCTCCCTGAGGAGGGGGCAGAGATTTACAAGCTGACTTAGAGAATATTTTACTGCCAGTAAAGACCTTGGACTTGCCTCAAGTTTTGATGCTTTTGCAGGAGACAAACATTAAATGTGAAATGATGGTGTGAGAATATATATATATATATCTATAATATGTGAGTTATAAAGATGTTGCTGATGTCATATGAGGTCAGGGTTTAACTGGTGATTAGAGGTGCAGTGTAAAGAGGGTCAGTAACATCAGGACTACCAGGATTTGTCTGATGTTCAGTCTGATTACATCTGTCACATATCATGAGCTTACAAAAAACACATTTTGAGAAATATCAACTGTCGGAAAAAAACAACTTTGGTGAGAAGAATGTGAGTCAAAGAGGAATCAACTCGCTACAGTAAGTCAGTCAGCTGAGCGGTGGCCGCTGGGAGAGCGAGCTGTGTACAGACGTCCAGCCGAACAAGAATTTTGGTGAGCAGCCAAATACGGTTATATTGTCAGATGGTTATGGAAGGATGAGAAAATTGCAGCTCAGTTCAAAAAAATGCGACGGAGAACTTCAGGACATATCTCTCACTTCATCTCAGAGCAGATCTGTTTCACTTTTTTCCTGTTAATGTCTGAGTGAACTGTGAAAAACAACAACCTGTGTTGTGATGCTCATCTCAAACCCTGGAGGAGCATCAACAAGTCTGCACAAATGTTTAGCAGAACTCACTTTGGTTATAAATTATTTACTGGCTCAGTTACTTCCATCAGACATGATTACTGGCTGGGCCCTGACACAAACTATCCAAAAATATACAGATACATGTGCATACACTTACTGTTTATCCTCAAAATCAACCACAAGGCAATTCGCTTATCCGCTACTAAAGAAATTACATTAGATCTAGTCGTTTTAAATAAATTATATCGTTGTTTACTTGAATGCATTATGTGTCCCAGCCCCCTGGCCTGGCTTGCACTGCGTTCCCATGACAATGTGTATTAGAGTAATGGTTGCGACACATAATAGGCTCCTTTCATGGGCTGGCCAGGGTAATTATGAGGCTGAAGCCTTGGAAAGCAAACATATTCAGGTCTGAGGTAGAGCCATTTTAATATCGAAGAGTTCCTCCATGCTGCTGCCAGTGTTGACATTTTCTTTTAGCTGCGTGATTCTTTATCGGTGGAAAAAGCTGAGATGATGAGACTTTTTATTTACGGGGATTCTGATCTGTCCGTCTTTGCTTTTTTACAGGTCTGTTAAGTGAAAGTGATCAAATTGCGTGTTTGAAGTTACCATAAGATTCTACAAAATAAAACAAATGACATGGTTGTTTTTGACGCACACTGTACTTATGAATTGACTTTGCTGTAGTTTAATTGAAGTTATACGACATTAAAGTGTCATGAAATTAAAGCTTATTATTCACGGTTATTTCTTCTGTAAAAAAGCCGTTCAATGTAGCTACAATCTATAATTGCTTCTTCTTCACTTTCAGTGGTGGGGCTCCGCTGTTCCTGAAGTCACATTGCCTTCCTAAACACGAGGGATTCACGGCAGAAACAACACATGCATGTAAATTCAGCAAGAAAATGAATCAGAGATCACCGCTGGCTCTCCTGCAGCAGTATCAGAGCTGGATTAAATTACTGCTAATGCTAACGCAGCATTTCTTTACTGACGCATCAGACACCGATGGTAATCTTTCATGAGACGACGCAGCACTGCAGCTTTCTGATAAGGATAAGTTTTAAATATTGCAAGAACAACAAGGACGAAAAGAGCTCCAGCAACGGATTATCTGTAGTGTGTCCTGCAGTCGAGCGAGGGGATGCTGTAACACACAGTTTGCTCAGGCATGAAGGGAAAATAACCAAGGATAACCTCAATTCTATAGGGCCTGAAACCTTAAGGATTAGAGCAGCTAAAATAAAAGGAGAGAGAGAGAGAAGGGGTTGGTCTCCGGTGAACACACACTTCACATTCAAACCTCCACACAGCCCGAGTACTCACATGTGGGTAGTAGTCCATGACCAGCAGGTATTCGATGCGTCCCTCTGGGCCGGTGCGCTCATCTGCGGCAACAAACCGCGCTATGTTTTCATGCTCCAGCAGCGGCAGCCGATAGATGGAGCATTCGTTCAGGAAATTCTGACGGTTGGCCGCGGTAAACACCTTCACTGCGACCGGCCGTTCGTCCAGAGAGCCACAGTACACTGTACCGTACCTGCCACGTCCAATCAGCTGAAAGAACAGTTGTGGTGGGAGGGGGAGAAGACTATTAACAGACGTCTTTGTAATTCTGGACCATTAGTACTTTCTTGTCTCATAAAAAACCTGCATAATAAAGTGATAATTCTGTTACTTCTACTTGGACACGAAGATTGTTTTACAAATTAAAAGCAGCAAGAGAAGGAGTGGTACAAACATAAATAAAAATAACAGAGCAGGCAGAGGGGGGTTAGGGAATAAACTAAATTATAAACAGCAGGCAAACAGCAGGGTTAAACAGTTAAAATGGCATTAAGTCAGTTCCAAATCATTCAATCAGTGTCCTGAATTAGCCGAGCACAGCATGACACGGGGGTCAAAACATTCAGCTTGAAACGTCATCAGCATAAGAGCAAGACATGAATCCAGGAGTGTGTTTATATCTGTGTGACTACCGCCTGCACGTCTGGCCGCAAAACACACTGTGAAAGGACTGGACGGCTGTTTTGTCTGCGAGTAGGTCTCACCGGCACCTCCCCTCCCCCACGTCCCGCTGCAATGAGTTTGATGTGAAAGAACATGCGCCTGCATTCAATAAGGCACAAGGACAACGTTCTGAATGCAACTCCTGCCTGAAAAGAAACTGCTCTGGTATGAAATGCATTAAATAGATGTCAAAAGATGGGAAAAAACATGTCTGTCTTCTCTGTTGTTGGATCGTTACGTTCAGAGTCGCTCCGTCTCGTCAGGGTGCGCAGCAGACGCCTCATTTTCTGACTCATGTAGCATTTCCCGTAGAACACATCATACCATTCACATTTTAGCCAGTTGTGTAGCTCATATTCACGCCAGCCATTCTTTTAAAGCATACCACAACTCTTAGGCTTTTTCCTGCCTTCCTGTCACTGTCTTCGCCTGGTTTGAGGTTGGAAAGAAACTTGCAGAGACTTGAAAACTGCATGTGACAGATAAAGACAACACAGCGTTTACTTCTGATGTTGTCGCTGATGTTTCTGTTGTGTAACTAAAAGCACAGATCTAGATAGAGGTGTAGAAATAACACAGAAAATGCCAGTGTGCTCCTCCTTGGTAAATTCAGTACGTGCTCTTTTTTATTGGCAGTTTAAAAAGATGAGATGGTATAAATGTGTTCATTTTGGAGATTTGGGAAAAACAATATCTGGGCAGGCAGTGCCCTTAAAACCTTCAGTTGTCCATAAATCCCTGAAATCATTTCCTCGTCTCAGGCCATGCGTGGCTGTCGATTTAAGGCACCTTTAAACGGCGTGACAGGCCTGTAAGTTTGAATGTCACACTGTGCGAGATGGGTCTAATAAAACGTGTCATGCTGTGCAATATCAACGTGTATGAGAGGAGACGCAGTCCTTGCCCCGTCACCACTCCTGTTTTGGAACAGAAAGGTTTTCATCTTTGCCAGAGTTGCGTAGATTTATTCTTCCGCTTGCATTGTTTAATTTTGTGCCTGAATTTAATGGAAAGTAGAATTGCGCTCACAGAATATGTGCCAGTGTATTCTACATCAATTCACATTGAGTTCTGTGTGATTGTTTTGTAGAAATGAGTCAGGGCAGCAACCACATTGTGAGAATATTGTTGCATAAATAGAGAGCAGATGGGATTGTGTCTGTACATCGTAGAGGAGGGAGGTGAAGGGAGGTCGTCCTGCTTTGCAAACCAGGACAATGATGTGAAGAGGAATTCAACATCCACCATTAACAACAAGCAGAAGCTTATAAGATACTACAATAAAGTATAAGAATGAGATCTAGATGGAAAAATACCACACATTCTTCCTCTAATGAATTTGCTTGTGTTCGCCTGATTTGGATTTTGGTCATCCAACTGCAGAAACTATCACCTTGTATAAGGCAGTTTGATTCAACTGAAAAACATTTTTTGCTGCAGAAAAGTTCAACTGTACTTTAGACATGTTGCAGATACCACCGTGCCGTCTCCTGTGGCTGCGTTGATTTCTCCTGTGTGTCCTTTAATCCCTGCACTCTGCTTACACTGCCACTGTGGCTGAATATCATCCCAACTCCATTGACTTCCCATCACAATTTGAGCTCAAGTGCTTCCATATCGGGTTTTCAGGATCCTGTATCTGGGTAAGCAAATTCCTATTTTGGTGCACCCGGATCTGTCACTTAATGCATCCTGCCTCGATCGGATGATAAAGTCACATTGAAAACAACAAACGTAACCGTAAACCTTGATGTATTTTGGGTGTATTTTTTTGCCTCTGTGCCTTTGGTTTCTCCTTTCTGTTTGTAACTCCTGACTCCCTCCATGACACACTACACTCCCTGTGTGTAGAGATGCTGAAGCCAGTGAGAACATGACATGCCTGCACCGATGATACAAGCTATCATGTCCATAGGATTTCGAGGAATAAAAGATGTGATCAGACCTGGTGTTGAGAGGGATTTACACACATAACCATATGTGACGATATGAGACTATATGTACATCACTACCAAAGTCCTTTGCATTTCAAAACATGGCGCAGAGTAAGTGCAGCGTCTGAACTCCCAAAATATAAAAAAAAGAAATTAGCGTCTCCATCACTGCTGATCAAAGCCAGAGCAGAAAAAAAGAACCTGTGTTTACTGCAGAGTCATTTGACCCTGGAGTTAAAGACAATTCTATCCATACCCATTATAGAGAAAAGGCAGATGTTAGTGTTGGTGAGTTTTTGACCGGTGGGAAAGGGGCTTTATTTGTCTTATTCCTTAGAACACAAAATGAGTCAGTTGTGAACGGAGGACTGTTGAGCACAAAGATAAAAAAAAGATTTCAAGCTGGAGAAAGAAAGGGATAGCGAGGGACCAGTGTGGAAACTGACCTCCAGCAGTTTGAGATTGTCTAGGTCCAGCGAACTCTCCGAGCCAGCAGCCTCCATCATATTTAGGTTGTGAAGACCTTGCTTACCACCTCCTTTCAACATAGAAACAAACTGTTCAGTATTCAGAGATAAAAAAACACTTGACACTTCATATAAAACAAAAGATCAGTACTGATTCCATATGTTGAATTAATTATAATTCTGCCAAAAAACATTTAAACAGCCTTGAATAATGAATGTCTGCTCTTCCTCACAGCGTGGCACCATGGCAACTCACCGTGCATCATGCGGTAACCAAAGAAGGCTGCTACAGCAACCACAGCCATCACGGAGACTGTTGCCAGGGCGATAATTACGGTCTCTTCGTAGCGCAGTGTGCGAGGGTCTACAAGAAGGGGACACATCAGAAACAAGGCACAAATCAAAGTGGGACCTTTATGGAGGAGGAGCAAATGGCTGAAACCGTGTGCTGGACTCTGATCAGTGATCAGGAGCCAGAGGAGCACTGTGTACCACAGCTCATATCAAAATGCCAAGTTCCTGTTCATTAGGTACACCTGCAAAATCTGATGCAACACATGTGAAATACACCCTCGTGTCAGCTGAAGTCTGTCTGTAAGTCTGTGACGTTACAAGATTAAAGTTAGGTAGAAACTAAATCTGCATATATTTATACTTAATTATTAGTTTTTGGTTTCGTCCGACAGCAAAAACTTGATGACAAATTAAGACACATGCTGAAAATTTTGCAGCACATTATGTTTATTTATCATTTTACTGCAATATAACTTGGGTGATTACACAAAATCACAATAGTCTTGTTATAGGTTCAGGAGGAAGAGCGGACCGTCAACTATCCACTGGGACGGTGGTGAGACAGATAAATCCTCTTTGGGTTGGGTTTAAATAGATCATTTCATCGTTGGTGTCTGTGGGGTCCTGTTGTGTTTGTATTATGCTTTAAGAAAGTCCTGATTATTCGTAAAAACAATTAATGAAACACATTTATTGGAGCCCGGGGCAACAACACAGTTGGTTTTGTGAGCAACCTTGAATGTAAACAGAATGTTGGTTTGTTTAAATGGAGCCTCTTGTTACAGTTACTGTATGTCACGTGTGTTTTTACCCACTGTTGTTTGCATTTTATGTCTCCGTTTATTCAGCATTTGGAGTGGGTCTCTGAAACAATTTCTGCATGTGAATGAAGACTTTGAATCGACTGGCAAGTGCAGTCAGTTGTATTTCTTTTCCTTCCCAGATAGCGGGTCAATAATTGTAGACAGTGCAGGCACATTTTAGCGTCTTGGGTATGCCAGTATGTGTGTTTGCAGATGAACAGGCATGCTGTGAACCGCATGAAGGGAAAAGAAAAACATCAATTACACCAAACAACCATGAAGCATGGCCAGCAGACTGGAAAGCAGCGCAGGAAGACAGAAAAGGAGGATGTGTGGGAAGCAAATGGAGGGAGCAAAAAGGGAGAAACAAACAGAACATGGCAAAGCTGGTTAGATCAATCTGGTAACAGACGCAGATAGGAGCAGTTAGCTGGGCTGGCTGCAGTTTCAGCTGTCTGGTACTTGTGATTAATGCAACTGCATCAGCTATAGTGCTGTTCTATAGAGAGACACACACACACACACACCATAAATATACCAACGCTTCCCTCGTATACTGCTGCTACTCTATATTCTGCAGAGATACTGAACCGAAGTCCAGAGCAGCTGCACAGACACACACACACATACAAACGCTCTCCTGCATACGTTAGATCAGCCAACACGCTGGTGCTGCCGTGAGATACCAGCTTTATCAATAATTGATGGCTCCGAGAGCCTCGGGGTGGCTCTGACTGACATGTAAGCATGAGCATGCATGCAAGCACACACTCTGACACACAGACATGGGGTTGACGAGGCTCCCCTCAAATGCCAAGGTCGTGGAGTTCATAATCAACAGGAGGTTTGTACAGGAAGCTGTCTGACAAACACATGCTGACAAGCCGGAACACACACGAGGAAGATGTTTCAAATGGTTACACCAGTAAAGAAACTGTCTGCTTCTAGACCCCCAGCTAAATCTTATCTTGGATAATCAAAGTAACGTCACGTCCAAGATGTGCAAAGTGCTTTAAGTAAGATTATAAGGAAATTGTACTTAACATGGGTTTTTCAATGTATTTGCCTGTTAGTGTTTTAGTTTGTAGTATTACACAATCACTACTCAAGAGTGAGGCATGACCTAAGGACGTGTCATTCTAGTTCTTAATATCTTCATTATGTGACAATCCAGATTAAGATTTTATGTATAAAACAAGAAGATGGTCAAATGAATTAAATCTAAAATTAACGATAAATCAATATGATCAATTTCATGTTAACTGGTTCATAAAAGACGTTTTTAACCATTAAATATTGTCATGGCCGTCTTTTTGATAAGAAGACTTTTCCTTTTAAATTTGATTTGGTGGGGGGGTGGAAATGCATTTATGTTGCTAGACGTCACGACACACACGGGGAGGTTTTGTTGTGATTTTTCTTTGTTCACTATGTCATCAAAAGTCGTCATCTGTGATTCTTGGCTTAAGATCATTCCAACAGCCAGGTGACTCAAACCTTCTCCGACTTCTAATGATACCGACACAAATCTGCCCGGGCACGTCCGGACTTAGTACTCAAGCAAAAACAATCAACAACAACAACAACAACAACAACAACAACAACAACAACAACAAAAAGAATTTGGTGTTATAACAGCTCAAACTCGAATCTTACTGATTAATCAACTATCCTTCTGACACCAAATGGTTATTTTCGACTAACTTTCTCGGGTCTAGGTCTCGTCATCTGTCTACTCAGTGGAACAGTCACCGACACGCCCGCAGACAGGCAGATAGAGCAGACGCCTCGTAATCCCTGGAATGCAGAAAGACGAGATGGATGGTAGACTGTGTGTATGTGTTTATGTGTAGGCAGGAGAGATGAGGAGCTGCTGCCGCCGCCACTGTTGTTCACCCTCCTCCTCCCACCGCTGCTGCCGTCGTCACCACACACATTGCTTTCATTCACAGCTAAACCTAAAGAGGAAGTAACAATTAACATTACATCTGCTTGCCTTGTTCGACACCTAAGAACTCAGCCCCCTGAAACAGACGGGCGCTGATGCAAAGAGAACTCAGAGAGAGAACCAACCACACTCACTGTCCTCTAAAAGATCTAATCTATACCAGAGTGGGGACACTGGAAATATGATCGGCTAATCGGTCTGTGAATGCACAACAATTCATCTACGCAGTGTCTATAACGGGTGGTGATCAGGAGGCTCAGTTCTAAGCCTTGTGGCTGAATGATTAAGCAGAGGAGGGGGAGGAAGAGGAGGAGGAAGAGCAGGAGTGAGAAAGTGGCAGTACGTAGGAGCAGGTATAGATGATTTCAAACATCCATTCATTCTTTTCTGCAAATAGCTTTGTGGTTCACAACTGTGGGGGCATACAAGTCCTCCATTCTGTCTTGTCTTCAACATTTCTCTCTGTTTTAATTCCCTGATTATATAACAGATACTGTCTGGTTGTTCTATAAAATCTAAAAACATCTCTCTGAGTCAATTTAAGTTTAAAAAAGCATAATGTAATACCATTCATTCAGACAGTCTAAATTCATTTGTCAGCCCACACAGACTTCAATCTAAGAAACTTCTCATTATTCCTCTCGGGTTTTATCTCTGCAGGTGAGTTAATTTCTTTTTTTAAAGAGCGGTCCCAATAAATTAAATGAACACATACAGAAATACATTTCATATATATATAAACCATAAAAGCACTGGTGTAGGCGGAGATCTGGTCAATGAGATCTGCCTGCAGGTCAGCTGATCACAAAAGACAATAACATGATGATAAAGTAATGTTGGTAAGTGAAACTACAAGATGAGCGTGTACTGGACATCATCTAACGTGAGGACTGCATGATGAGAGATGTACTAAAACGTGTCCTTACTGATGGGCTGTGCAGTGGTGGGGCTGGGCATCGGGAAGTCCTCGGTGAAATTGACGTTGCACATGTCGCTCCCGCAGCAGCAGAAGTGGTAGGTCCCATTCTGGATCTGCGGAGGGAGGTTGGTCACCACGCAGCGGTCATCGCGGCAAGCCAGGTTGTCCCCGAGGTGGGTCCAGCATCCTGAAGAGAGAGCGGGGGCAGAGTCAGTGCCATTACTGGGCTTCTCCTTTTTAGCTTTTATCGGCTGAATGATTAGTGATTATTAGTATTAATAATAGATGTGACCTCACTACCACAGCGATAAAATGCTCCTTTATTAGTCCTACTTCAGGGAAACTTAACAAAACACAGGTAAAAAGAGCGAGCGAGAGCTGCTGAATGTCAGTATTAGAATAGAACTAGTTCTAAGAATATCCCAATGATGCTATTGTCAGAAAATAAAAGACCATTTTAACAAACAGAGCTAAATTTTCAAGTTCTTTGACGTCAAGCTGTTCAAACATTCGTCAGTGCCACATTAAAGCCCCGGAGCAAAGGAAGTACTATTTTTGACTGCCCTATTTTTCATATGTGAATCTCCTAAAATCTCTCAATGGTTTGTTGTAATCAAAAACAGGTTTTAATATTATTTCAATGTTGTTTGTGTCTCGTTTGGACGGAGCTGCTGCTGCTGACTTAAACACAGAGTGTGTAAACAGAAGAGGACACTGGAGAGGATATTTACTGTAGCTCTAGGGACTTGTGTATCCTTCCTGTTGAACTATAGCATCTGTATATGTGTACGACTTCGCTTACAGACATTTTTGACTCTTTCAAAGGACTCAAAACTTAATCACGGAGCAGTTTTCCAGTCACGGTGTTGAGCAGCAGAAAGGAAATATTTGTTTTTAAAAGTTAAACTAAAGACTGGGACTAACTTTATCTGCAAATTATTTTTCTCATTGCTCTCATTCCGACCGTGTCAGAAAAGATCAGACGAGTAAGAGCAGCAAATTCCAGCCCTGGAGAAGCTGGTTCCATCAAAAGTTTGGCATTCTAACTCGTGAAGTTCCTTGGCAATCATCACTTGTTAGTTTTTTGTACTTGATTAATTACAGTTAATCAGTTGTGGTTGTGCCATCATGCATAAGAAAATCCTTACATTTGAGAGGCTGCAGCCAGAGAATGTTGAAACATTTTTTATGATTACCCAAATTTGACTTGTAATCTAAACCTGTTTCCAGAAGATGTTTGTACCCAAGTGAAAGTGAAATTTGAGAATCTAGAGAGAGGTTCTGCTTCATGTTTTGCAGATTTGAGATTTAGCTGTCACATTTAAAAACAACGTGAGACACAATAAGACACATTATCCGCGTTAAAAACTAAAAAGAGAGCGGCGTGAAAACTGAACAGCTACTTTGTGCTTTTTGAAGGAGAAGTGCAGAATCTCTCCTATCGTACCTTGTTTGACCAGCCGTACTTCGCCTGGAGGACTTTTCTCCCACAAGCCAAAACAGTGGCCGCCCTTGGCACATCGGATGGTTGTGTTCTCCAGGGAGACCCGACCTTCGCCCCCCGCCACTCGCTCTACCTCCAACTGCTGCTGCTGGTCCGTGAAGGCACACTCCCTTTCCTCGCCCTGCGCCGCTGTGAAGAAGAGACGAGAGCAGGGTTGGAGCTGAGTCAGAGCAAATTTTTATCAAAAACAGGAATGAGCTTTTCGTGGTGACAAAGCGAGTGTGGAATGTAAATGTGATGACAAGAGGAAGGCGAACACATATTTTTGAGATGGGGAGAGTTTTTGAGTTTGTGGTCATGAGCAGCATCAGTCGAGAAGAAAAAAGACAGGTTCATTAATTTACCCCGTTTCATCACATTACTATCGACTGTTTTCTCATCCCACAGAGACAGTGACACTTATTATGCACATTGTTGATGAAAATCTTCAGCAAGATGTTGATGAAAATTTAAAGTCCCTCATATCAGCCCTCACATAATAAACCACAAACACATATTTACACATTGGAATTTTATAAAATACATATATGTGCATTTCTAGTGTGTTAAACTCCAAAGTATTGATGCTTGTGCTGCGTCCGTCTACACAGGAAGGATTCACAGATGAAAGAGAGCTGTCTGCCTGCAAACACTGCGGCCTCTCACAAACCAAAGATCAATAGAAATACCAATTTAAACTGTAGCCTGAAGGACACAACACAAAGGCACGGAGGAGAGGTGGACGTTATGGCACAAAACTACTCTCATTAAAACATAAAAGAAGGCTGTAATAACAACTACACGAGTTGAAGCTCTCATCTCGTTCTTTACGACTTCAAATAATCCATAACCCAGGGTCAAAGTTTGTTTTCCATGTTGGCTCTACAGGAAGTACGGATGAACTGCAGATGATGTCAAATTGTGTTCTGAAGAAAAAAGCCAGTTGTGAAATGGACAGTTTGATTGTTGATTTGTAGAGAATTTGCCTGAGGGAGAGAGACCCACGCCATGAAGAAATACTTCAAGCTAAAGTCAGAGTGTGTGTGTGCAAGATCTGCGCTGTGCGTAATTTCAGATAAGGGAAACATGACGTGCCAGTCTGTTTCCCTTACTCCCAGCTCCTCCCTTTCCTCCATCCGGGAAGGGAAGGGTGGAGAGTCTGCTTTGGACAAGTGGGGGGGAGAGGAGCGCGGCTGGGCTCTGCCCAAGGTTACGCTCGCCTGTGTGGGCAGAGCGTGACGCGATGGAATGGTAGCTCTGCCGGGCACAGAGCCAGCGTTCCTCCTCTGCTCCCATCCACAGATAGAGCCATCAACCCCGGTCCGCTGTGGGCCTGGGCTGCCCTCGACCTGTGGGCCTTTTTCTACCCACCGCGCTGCGCGTCTGACTTTGTCTACACGGGGAGGCGTGCTGCGTACATGCAGAGTGGGAAGGGAGTTCCGACTAAGGGTTAAATATGTGGTGGAATTTTATTTTGATGAGGGAACTGAATTTCAATGAGCTGCCGACTCCATTGCCAGGGTTAGTGGTTAGATTCCCAGTGGGGCAGATCATCCTTTGCATGCTTTTTTTTTTCTCTCAGCACATTAACAAGCTCTCGGTTTAAGTGACCATCAAATCTTACACATGCTACATAATTACAATACATTTGCAAGAGTGTATAAGCCATCAAACGTGTGGAGAGATTCAAACCTCATATAGAAGACTGCACTAACCCTACTACATCAGTGAAATGAAAGCAGATAGAGGAGACAGAAAAAAGCATTAGTGTTTCCATTTTAGCCCAAAGCAAACTTCAGCTCTTAGCATGGAAGATGTAAAAAAAAAAAAAGAACTGATCCTCAGCACAAACATCTTGATAATGGCCACACATTCATTCATATTTTAGAGATCTTTTCTATGGCTACAGAGGGAAGATCAGTTCAGATTAGAGTTCAGCTGCTATTGAAACGTTTGAAAAGGAAATCTGGCCAAAAAGCAGTGCAGACATCTACTGATTTTTTTGACAATTTTGAAAAACAAACCAAATTTGCGCTGATGAATCTATGAAATCTGGAAATTTCAGACAATCAGCACTGATCAGAATAAGCAAAGACAGAGTTTCCCTTTTATTATCTAGACTTTTGTTCTGCCACAGTTTCATGATAAACCAAAAAGAGTTGTTCTCTTCTCTTGTTTCTCCATACATAGATTTTTTGTGTCACATCAATCGATTAATATCGACCGCTAGATATTGATTTTGTTTTCAAACAATTTCTAATGAGTGAACCAATCTTTCATTGCAGAGCTGTGTGCAACACATTGATTCACCCAGCGCTGCTTTATTCAGGGTTTTATTGGATTTAATCCCAGGGTGCATTTGTTGTGGAGAGGAGGAGCCTGACAGTGACAGTGAATCCAACGCTATTTCACGACATCTTCAAACTCTGTCTGTTGAAGTCACTTTGACTGAGACACCACTGCTGCCAGGAATTGTTTGATAAAGTTCAATATCATCCAGAAAGTATACGAAAGCAAAAATATCTCAAACCTGACCGTTATCATTACAAGTGAAGTGACACTCAGCTCTTTGCTTGGCTGTCACAATCAACACATTTAAAAAAATACTTCATTGCTGCCAGTTCAAAGGTGCAGCCTCAACAATAATCTTTTTCAAATATGTTTCCTTTCTAAGTATCCGAACCCAGCGATTGAGTGGGGGTGTGGGCGGTGAAAGTGAGGACTTGAGTTGTCGAGGAGGAACTCTAGTAAAAAGAGGAGAAACATAAAGGAACAATAGAAGGAAGTGACAACACCCATAGACAGGACTGGGAGAACAGATCCAAAGAGCAGAGTATCTCCTTTCGCTGTACAACAACATCAATTATTCATATTTTCACTGGAAGTCAACTGGGTGAAATGAAAACCTTCAAAATAAAAATGCAGATAAAATGTGTTTTATCTAGAAATTGATTTGAAGTTTTCGTATTCACAAGTTTTTTGCTTTCGCATTCAATGGTCGAAAAGGAATAGTTTATATCAGTACATTTTTGCTGCATTAAACACAAAAGGCCAATCCCTGTATACAATCACTACACTGGGTGTAGTGTGTATAAACTTGCTTTTGGTTTCAAACTCAATCCTCCACTTTGTCTCGTGTCACCTAAGGCGGAGCACGGTGCCAAGAATCATGTCTACAATCCCCTAACCCTTCACCCCCCGCCCGACTTCATCCCGTGACCGGCTGTCTGACTGAAATAACATTATGACACACTGACTGACGTGCAACAGTGTAATAGTTTCATTGTGCGGGCACGGCTGCACATAACAAGCGTGCATGAGATAAATGGATAGCACAGAGTGATCACACAGCAGCTTCTTTAATTCCCATTTCCTCCTGATTCTTTGCCAAAATAGGGGCTATTCACTCTCTGGAATAAATTTATTGAATTTAGCAGCTCAGTACACCAGACAGAAGAGGAGGAGAACTGTGGTGCATGGGATGGAGCTCAAACTTCAGGGAACCAGGCTTTAACCATGTGCAGTGGGAACCATGGGCGTTCTCCTGTCGTCACTTTTCATTGGTGTGTCTGCAGCTCTGCCTGACAGTGGCTGGTTCTTTGACTAAATTCCGTGTTTCTCGCTGGATGCCAGTCTCTGTGTTTTCTCTCTGATTGGCCGTGGCAGGCTCTGTCCCTGGTTCTGCTCTGTGGAGCTTGCTGAGTGATCCTGGCTTCCACTGCAGTGTTGGATTGTGGGTCAGAGTATGCAGGCAAGGCCAGTGGACTGAGGAAGATAAGGGAGAGAGAGGGAGCTGGGGGGGGGAGTCATATCAAAATTCTTCAGAGTAGTTTTTTGTTCCAAGCCTGTTCATTGGATGATGGCGGGCACTGCTTAGTGTTTACCCATGGCCCAGTTATTTGCTAATCCCCCCGCCCCCCAATTGGCCTTCAGTGCACCCTCCCGCCCCCTCGGACTACCTCCTTCCCCTCAGCCTCGCTGCTAAAAAACAACAGCGATCTAATCTGGCTCTCTCCTTCCTACTGCCAAGGCCCACGGGAGCGATGCAAGACACGGCAGTCTGGGACTTGATTACAAGTCACCCAGTGCACTGATGTGTCGGCTGTCGTCTCCACACAACTGGTTCTGGGTTCACATCCAAGACTAGAGACAGAAACAGAGGGTGGGAGGGGGAGGGAGAAAAAAGCAGAGCAGCTCTTGACCAAAGGGTGAAACGTGTTTGATGCACCCGTGCACGCCTCATCTCCTCTGCAGGCATGAATAGACTGTCCACCGCCACTGTAGTATGCACGCTGCGCTCGCCTGCTTGGACAACAACCACTGCCATTATTATGCTGCCATGAAGAGAATTTGTAATTTAAATTAAAAATGTGAGCTATTAATTAAAGACCTGCTTCTCTCTGGGTGCTGGTTATTTTTTCGGACGCCCTTCACCCTGGTGCCAGTTAAGTGCCATCACGCATGGTGGATGTGTGCACAGCCAAAACATTTTCAAAATGCAGAGAGGCACGATCAGCCCGTGTGCAGTGGTTGTGTTTTCGTCGCCCTCAACCTGCTGCACACCGGCAGCCATCAGAGGCAGATATGGGCCCTAATCAGGCCTGCTGCTGTTTGGGTGCAGGCTTGTTGCTGAGGTAGGATGGATGGGCTCAAGGGTATTTGCTGACACCCCCAATTTTCCAAGTCCCCTGGTTGAATTTAAAGATTGGGAGGGGGGGGCAAGTGGGCTTTAATCTATCCCATCTGTTGCCCTGGGACTGCCAACCTTACCCCACCACCCCACCCCCTAAAAACACCACCATTCTGTCTGTGTCTGGTACAGTTATGCTAATCCTGCAGATTATAAAGCCCTCAAAGCTTAGAGGCCACCATTATTGACCATGATGCATTCATAGCACCTCCCTCCTCCTCCTCTGCACCTTAACTTTCCTGAATATGTGATGAAAACACAGATGACATCGTGACCAAAGTGGGTTTTGCTATCACACCACAGGAGGTATAATCTCAGATTATTTATGAACAAGCAAAAGTTTGGTTTTAGGCCGTGTCTGAATTTAGTCTTTGTTTATAACAACATCACTTCCTAGTTGCATATAGGAACAGCCTTGACGGGTTACACGATGACTGATTCCCACTACACATCCACCCACTCCACTGGAGGCCTGTGGTTGTCTGGTATGATAAGGTTTCACATGTTCTGGCAGAACTAGCTGGCGTTGTTACGTCATGGCAAACTACGACCTCTTCTCTTTAGAATGAGTAAAGCTCGAGCAATTTATCAGGAACACATGAAGAAACAAATGTTTTGGCAACTACACAAATCTATCAAAATTCCAGCCTCTTAAATGTGAGATTTCATTCTTTTCTTTTCTTAGGTTATAGTAAAGAGAATATTATCAGGTTTCACAGTGTGGACCAGACAAAACAGATCTGGAATCAGTATATGTTGCGGACATGTGGATCTTTACACTGCAAATGTATATGTATGTTTTCACAATTCAAACATGTCAGGATTGTTTGTTCTTGTGTTATTATTTTGAAAATTACTATCAGTCACTGTGTTGTTATGTAGTTTTAAGATGGACCTAAAAAAATCAAATTATACAATAATAACAATAATGATAAAGTTTATTTGTAAAACCTTTATCAAAGTTCTTTAGCAGGATAAACAAAGTGAAAAATGGACCCCAAAATCAGCAGGACTACACTTCACATCTAGAATAAAATCTTCTGCTGCTCTCAACCTTGTTTTCTGGGATGTCTCCTGAAATAATGCTGTGGTTTGAAATGGATCATAGAACTGCCTCTTAGTCTGATGTGGACATAAATATTAGATATGGCAACTATAGTCCCAGATTTATCATCCCAGCTATGACTCAAGTAATGACAAATACTTATTACTCGTGTTTATATCCAAGAAAATAAAATATGAAAAAACTGAAAACTATCAAGCCAAAACAGATCAGTTCATACTGTGAGCAGCATTTATTGCACACTCTAGACTTATTGTCTGTGCTTGTCAAGGAGAACACTTCGTGTTAATCATAGGCTGTCACTCTGAGTTACCATCTCAAGGCTGCACCTTTTGTTTTCTAAAACATCCCCTAATTTCTCCCTTTTGCCAAACCAGAAGGTCGACTGAACACTGTCCTATTGTATCTCGCTTCGCTTTTACCTCCATTCAGACCTCAACCCAAGGTACTGAGAGAAACAGACATCTCACAATATACAGTGAATGAAAAACATTATTGAATCAAAAGTGGTGTGGTGCTTTTATATCCTTCATCCCTGCAAATGACTTCCTTATTTTACAGTTTAGATTTAATTTCTCCCATTGTGAAAACACTGATGGCTCGGACCGAGCACACATCTTCTCCTCGCCCATTTTTACTCCTAAGCGGCGATTGCCTGCCAGTTTTACAAATGATTTTAGAGTTTCATAAACTCCTCTTTCCCATTTACAATTACTTGTGTTTACCTCCAAAGAGATGTGGGCCACTGGGGCAAACACACCGTTAACATCACACGTTGGATGTATACATTTAGTTTGATACTTTTCTCTAATTAATGTGCTGCATTCTTAAAGTCTTAAAGTCTTATATTTATAGTTATGTACAAATGTATATAAACTCTCTTTTTAGATTGTTGGTGACAAAAATAGAACACCACATTATTATTTGAAAACATT